GTGAAAAGGCTGAGTTTATTTTCTTGTAATTACAAACTGTCCTCAAAGCCTCTTTTTAAAGACCCCTGGACCTCAAGACTGTCATTGTGTCCAGTGAACTGTCACCTGCAACTTTTAAAGTTCACGATTCTGATGAGTTGTTTCACTTAATTTTTCTCTGATAATACAGACATCTTACGAGTCCTAGGTCAAAACAGTTGCGGGGTTTCCTTGTTAAGCCGCAGGTGAGCAGAGACGGGCCTGTTTTCTGACACCAGTCCTGGAGTTTGCTGGGTATCCTGCCTCACCTAAACCAGCACAGGGYCGCAGAAGCTAACTCTAAGGACACACGCCCAGAGCCGATGCCCTCACAAGGACCAGGCACAGGACCAGGACTGCCAGGCACAGGAGGGCAGGATTMCCGTCCTGCAGGGGACTGGTCCCCTCCCCTGGAGTTCCTGCAGCCACACATCCTGGAGCCCTCTCCCTCTGTGGGGTGCTGTGTGGGTGGAGGCCTGTGGAGCAGCCCCGCACGTGCGGCCTGCCCTGACAGCTGGACTCGGCATGCCTCCTCGCTCAGATCGAGTCTGGGTGAACGGTCACACTGGCACCCAGCAGGATTCCAGTCAGGAGACCCAGGAATGGCTCTCCGGGCCTCACCCAGGCCAGTCTCCAGCACTCCTCCTCCTCCTCCCTGTGTGCTTGAGCCCTTTCCAGATAAGTGTGCTGATCTCTGGGCCTCCATTTTCTCATCTGCACGAATCTCTGCAAAAGCAACCATCCCTGTCCACAAGGCACAGAGGCTGGCATGAGGCCACCCAGTGTGAGCAGCCATGGGCCATGCAGCCAGATGAGAGCATCAGTAGGCAGGCGGAAAGGCCTCCCTGTTTTAGGAAGGCATGTTGGGCCTCGGCGGCCACTCCTCATCATGAGGGCTGTCCTACACCTTGAAGGCTCAGCAGCAACCCTGGCCTCACACCACCAGGTGCCCGCAGCCGTCCCCAGGTGAGACAACCCTGATGACTACAGGCACTGCCACACAGCATGCCTGGGGACAGTGTGCCCAAGGCTGGCACTACAACCCTAGGTAAGCGCCGCTCAGATTTTTAAAGGACATGCATTGCGGTGGAGGGAGGCCTGGGTGAGAGCCACAGCTGTGACGTTCGCCTGGCCCCCTGATGGCCCTCAGCTCCACCCTTGCTGCCCACCTATCCCAAGCCCGTCTTCTCCCCCAGGGCTCAGAAAACCTTCTCTCGAGGGCCAGAGGGTGAATGTTTTCTGTGTGAATTTTATGGTCTTTGCTGCAATTGCAGTCTGTTGATATGGAAAACCCTGAAGGCCTGGCCAGTCCAGATAGCAAAGTCTCTCCTGGATTCTCACCAACACGGCCATGGGGCCACCTCTCACTCTCAGCACTGCCCAATAGGACTGTCTCCTCCCTGTCCACAGGGTGGCCACTCATGGCAAGTGGCCACAGAGCCATGGACGGGCTGGTATTCCTGGGGAGCTGGAACTTGATCCTAATTTCTTCAAGTAACCAGTGGCTACTGCACTGTAGAGGGCACCTGGACCCTCTGGGAGGGAGTCCAGGGTCCCATGCCACCCTCCCAGGCAGAGAGCAGGTGGGAGGCAGGTGCTGAACAGAGGGAGGTGGGCACCTCACAAGGCCTCCCTCGTCTGTGCCAGTGCCTTAGCAGCACCTAAAGGCCACATGTTCAGGGACAGGGTGCAGAATCTGGCCAGCAATTTGCAGCTGGAGAGCTCCTGTTCAAGATGTAGAAAAGGCTCACATCCCAGAACTTTCCAGAATCAGAACAAACATTCTTGGCTCTAGTTTTGGTGTAGACTTCTGTGATTAACATCAAACCCCAGAGCCAGGCATGGTGGTGCACGCCTGTAATCCCAGTGACTCGGGAGGCTGAGGCAGGAGGATCACAAGTTCAGGGCCAGTTTCAGCAATTTAGCAAGGCTCTAAGCAACTTAGCAAGACCTTCTCTTGAAATTAAAAGAAAAAAAAAGTCTAGGGATGTGGCTCAGTAGTAAAGTGCCCCTGAGTTCAAACCTAGTACCAAAGAAAACCAAAAAAATAAACAAAACTATCAAACCCCAGTGTTGTCTGTGCTCTGTGGCCTTAGGAAAGTCACTCACCTCCCTGGGCCCGTTTTTTCAATGCATCAGGTGGTCACAAGATAACTCAGTACATGTAGAACACGCTCACCCAGGGCCATTTCTTTTTATYAGTGCACTTGTGGGAACCAAGGTGGGCACCAGGTGGGCCCTGCCCGGTCACACAGCACTGAACAGGATCCTGTCCCACGAATGTTTAAACACAGGCTCCTCCCAAGAGCCACAGGGAATGCTCTGCTGCTACCGAGGCAGCATCCGAACCAGACCAGGAAAAACATTCACCCACACACAAAAGCTCAGTCCCCCCAGATTACAATGACCGCCAGGCTCTTTGACAGGTTCTCTTCCTGGGAAATCTGCAGTACCTGGACGCAGCRCCCACCACCACCCACCCACAGTGACTGGAGCACATGCAAACAGCAGCCCCCGATCAGGTGTCACCACCTGGCTAAAGGGGAGCCACCTGCCAGCCAGGGGTGACCCCTCTCCCCAACCCCGGGAAGTTCATGGAAGGTCTGATTATTAAGAGAATCTGACTTTCTTGGACCCTTCAAAACGCAGCCGAGATCTAGAACAACAGAGAGCGCACTGGAGAGCGCCCAGGGGCGCCTGTACAGACTGCGGCCTAAGGGCATCATGTGAACTTGCCCCAGGTCAGGGAGAGAAGCTGGGCCCAGGGGCAGGCACTCACATGACTTGTCTGCTGGGTATTCTGTTTTCTCTGACATGGGGTGACATCTGTCAGGAAATTAGCTACAACATGGAGGGACTGGGCCCAGATGTTGGCGGCCCCCTTGGGTGCTGAGGTTCAGGATGTGAGAACAGGAGAGGGCAGTACTGGGCCAACAGCTGGTCCTCCCAAGCTCTGAAACAGGAGGCTTCACGGCGACCTCGGGTCCCTTACTCGACAAGCAGCGACGACCTCCTTACCTCCACAGGCCTGAGGCCAGAGGTGACAAGTGAGGCCAGGCAAGCCGCACAGACAAGACCCCAGAGTGGCTGATAAACCGGCCCAGTGGGGCCTCGGCTCTGGTGGTCGCAAAGGAACGGCACATCTGGATTTTTTAAATATTCAAAAAAATTGTAAGCCAATGTCTAAAGCAGCATTCKCGATCTGTGCATTGTCACAGTCTGTTCCCTCATGGAGGTGTCCCTGCAGGGCGGGCTTCGAAACAGACCCAGAGCCACCTGCTGTGGGGACAACACTCCTGTGCAGGACCAGGGCCTGCAGGGCAGGGCAAGATCTCAGGCTGAGGAGCAAGATGCAGGTGGTCCCACATCCAAGGACACACAGCCAGGAGGGGCATCGCCTCCCAGGGTGTCTGCAGGCCAGAGGCCGTGTGTCCAAGGGCTGGTGACCATGAGGACAGGGATGGTGATGACGGCTCATCGTAAGTKGGGCAAAGCTTTCCGAGTGCCAGGGAGCACCAGGGCTGAGCTGTGGGTTCCGGGGATGGCCCAATTTGAGCAGCCCTGGGGTTTGTGTGACATCCTCATAGTTGATGAAACAAGCTCAGAGAGGTGACATGACTTGTCCATGGTCACACAGCATCCCACGTTAGCAGCAGCCTGGTGTCAGAGAGGGTGACTCGCTCAGCCTGCCGGTCTCCTTTCCACCATGGACCCTGCTGGTCTCCTGGGCTGTTTCCACTTAGGGCACAGCACTCAGGGCCCCTGTCTACACAGCACATGCCCTGAACACAGCTGTCCACACACCTGTCATCACCAGGGGCCTGAGGACTGGCCTGCATCCCTGAGGAGTGAGCGGTCGACGCGGACCCCCCTCTGTGCGGCCTGCTCCTGTTGGTGTGTGTCACCGAGTGACCTCACTTTGGTTTCAGTTTGTTTGTAAGGAAACCCCTCTCCTGAGCCTGAAGGAAGCCACTTGTGCTGAGCCATGAAAGTAAGAACAGGCTCTTGAAATGTTTTCCCATTGTCTGTCCCCGTGCCACCCACATGACATCACTCATGTCCCCAGGGGCTCAGGGCCCACAAGGAGAAGCTCGGTGCACAGTGAGGAGCCTGCACCCCCACGCCCACCACCGCAGGCATGTCGCTGCCCGGTCCCCACCGCGGCACTCTACAGGTGAATCCCCTTCACTCCCACCGGACTCCAAGTGCCCTCTGGGAAGCTGCCCAGCCTCTCACCTCTGTCCCAGCTCTGGCCGCACCCGATCACTTCCAGCCAGTCAAAGGCACCTGCTCTCTCTGTTCCTTGGCCAACTAAGGCCACCGAGACACCACRGCCATTTCAGGAGTGGGTTCACTGCGCCTGCCACCCCCTTCCATCATCATCTCTGGCTGCTTCTGAGCCTCCAGCCCAGGGCTGAGTGGCTGCATCGGAGCCACCTGGCCCCTCCCAGGACAAATCCTCAGCCCCTGGGCTCTGCCATTCCTGCCTCCTGTTCTCTGCCTGGTGCCCTGCTCCTTGCTCTCCGCGGGGTCTTCTGCGCCTGGCCCTCAGGCAGGGGCAGCCAGGAAGGCCCTCCACGCAAATGCGCAGCTGCAGCAAACCTCTGCCCCGAGAGCCCAACCCAAGCCACACAGCTGGCCACTGTGCTGGGGTCAGCTGAACCCCCCCCACCCCAGACGCTCCTCCTCCAGAGACTTCTGTCCCCGAAAGTCTCAGTGAACATACAAAGGCATACCAGAAAGGTCACCCGTGAGCGTCTTTGGAAACTCACTCAGCCGCGCCAGACTTGGGGAAGACAGAAGGGTGGTTCTTCACATGTTTGTGCCAGCTCTGTGCCAGGGCGTGGCAGGGCTAGAAGCAGCCGTCTTGAGAACAGAGCCCCATGTGAGCTATGCCTGAGCCCTCAGCAGAGACCCCGGTTGGCCCCCAGGCTAACAATCATTTGGGGACTAGCTCAGCCCSCAGGGTCTCCAGCAGCTACCTGCATCATCCAAGTGGGTGTCCGAGGACAGTGGCTCCTCCAGGGAAGCCTGGCCCTCCCCGGTGGCCACGGGGCTTCCTGGCTGCACGTCATTTGCTGTCTCCTGCTTGGGAGTAGAGGGTTCGCTCTGGGTGGACCGGGGGCCTCCGTCGGGGCTGCACATTTTGCTTTCAGCATCTGCAAGGAAATTGAGCCATCAGCGGGGCCACGTCTCTCTCCCAGGTCCTTTTATTCTTATAGGATTCCTTAGGAAGATGCCACCCAGGCCCTGGTGCCCACCTCCCCAGGGAGCCTCTCYTCCTCTGTGCTCCCAGCCCAGGCGACCTGTGAACCTGAGCCCCTGGTTTCAGTGTGCCCACTATGACTCCAACACCCGCAAGCCCCCACCTACATCCACTCTCTTGCCTTTGGCCTCTGTCTGCCTACTCTGGTCCTGCCCTCTGCCTGATGGCTTGGTGAGCTGTGGGTACCAGAAGGCCTCTGTCCCAACAGCAGGCTCGGGGACAAACCAGTGTTCTCCCTGGACATGTCCTCCCCGGGTGCTGTGCTCTTGCCAGGCTCCTCTGTCCTGCTTCCCTTGGACACATCAGCATGTGGCCAATGGTGGGCGCCTTCCCTGGCTGCAGCCCATCTCCCTGGGGGAGAGCTAGAAGGGCAGCCTGCAGATCTACAGCCAGGATGAACTCAAATGTGAGCCACGGAGGTCTCAGCAAGGCCAGCAGATTCTTCCCAGGAGGGAAGGACCTGGGTACAGCCAGGGGACTCACTGGGTGGACAGGACTGGGTGTCACACCACTAGTGTCTTGGCTTGCCATGACGGTTCGCTCATACTTGACCACCTCYGTGAGTCTCTGCCACTGGCTCCCCTGGAAGGCAGAGGAGCACATACCCAGGGGCACAGCGTGGGGCCCCACCTTACCCACGCCACCCCATGCCCTGTGTGGCAGGGGCAGCTGCCTGCGTTTACAGGCACCCACACCAGGTCCTAGAACAGCCTCATTATTGCTGTCAATCATAACCCATCTCCACCACCGTCACCACAGTAAAAATAAGATGGCTGGGTCACAGAACTGGAGCGGCCCCGGTCTCCAGCATCATGAAGACCCCAGGCCCCTGCAGGTCTAGAGTCTCCCCACTGGCCTGGCAGCTCAGCCACTTTGCAGGGTCCCTCTGGGCTGTGCTCCGAGTGCCAGCCCAGAATCATGCTCAATGAGAAGTTCGTTCCCAAAATAGCCCTGGTGCCAGGGCCGTTGCTAGGAAACGCTGGTGGGGTGGGGGTGGGGCGGCTCAGGCCCTGCTCCTCTCACTCAGGGTCAGTGGGCTCCCTGCAGCCAGGCTGCTCCACACTCACTGCTCTGCCCCTCGGAGGGCTGCGGAGGGAGTGCAGGGAAGCACAGGCCTGTGCACCCAACATGCACACAGCATGCACACACAGCCCCGGGATCCAACCACAAAGGAACCAGACTCTGGTTATTACTGTCCAGTTCCCCAGGAGCCCGCGACTCCCGGGTCACTGAACACAGCGCCAAGGTACATATCTAGTGACAGCGCATGAAATTCCTTAAATTATTTAAGAAACTGCTGAGTCAGTGCACACAGGAAGACGGGGGAAAGTTGTTCAGGGACACCATGGCGTCCACGCAGGTGGACGTCCAGCCCTGTTTGGCTGGGGACCTTCATGCCAGAGAGGCTGTCTGTTCTTGGTCACAGACATTTCAGAGGAGGGACAGAGCAGAAGAGACAGGGTGGGAAAGGGTCACTTCCCACAGTGACTGCCCCTCGTCTTTCATCCATCTCAACACCACAAACGGGCATTCCTAGGTCCCAGCAGCTTAGCAGAACTGCAGGAAAGAGGAGCGGCCCAGGTGGTTCCTGGACACACACACTGACAGAGTCCTAAGAACATCTGCTGAGGGGARGGACACAGACCCGTCCTCTGGACCCAGCGGGCTCTGTCCTGTCAGCCTGCCCAGGGCCCAGCTCACATTGCTGCTTGGGCAACTCCAGGGTGGTGGGCATGTAAGCCTGTGTTCGTCTGCCCTGTGTGCAAGCCACGGGACACTAGGAGGTTTGTCCTGACCCAGGAAGCTCATGTTCGAGTTTGTGGGTCACCAAAGATGCTGGACGGTCCACTTCCAGGGTCTGCCCTGCCTGCAGTCCTGGCCACAAGGCACGCACACTCAGTGCAAGCGGCGGCCACAGGGGGGCGCCCATGGCCACAGGTTGGTCCTTCTTGCTGGGAGGTGGTGGTGGCTGATGACCGATTCCTTAACCCAGACCCAGGAAAAACCAAGACCCAGGACTGCCCACACCCTGGGGGAGGCGGCGGGCCTCAGCCCTCACACCCCTCCCCTTCTAGGAGGTGGCTGAAGGCTCCCCTGAACTGGGAGGCTCCCCTGGCTGCCAGTTGCCATCCATATGGGAGAGCCTCCTGGTGCCCCCAGCACTGGACAAACTGGACAGGTCAACCTCAAGGGGACTTGCCAGGGGTGTTCTCAGAGGCCTATGACCAACATCTGTGTGTATCCTGTAGCTCTCTCATTATGGCTGCAGATCTACCTACAGAATACACCACAGAGGACTCACACCCCACAGGAGTTCAGGGAAAGCAAGGCCCCCAGCCCAGCCACCGGGGGCAGCCCCTGGGCTCCCCCCTTCTGATGTGCCCCAGAGACTCCCCGGCCTTGCTCACACGTAAGGGCAAGCTCACTGTAGGCCCCCACAGCTGGACTCCCCTGGGCRTGTCTCTCACCCACGCCACTGGGGGGCAGCGAAGAGGAAGGCTCCTCATGCCCAAGCCCCTCTCCCACCCCCGTGTCCCCCCCATCCCCTACAGGCACCTTCTCTGAGCCCTGGGCCTGCTCCCTAGCCTAGAGGTCACCCCTCCTTCCTGATCTCTGCTCAGCCTTCCCGAAGTTGGAGTCGGCTGGGGAGGCTCACCAAGCCCTGGCGCCCACGGGGTCGGAGAAGCATCTCATTGAGCTGATCCCAGCAACGGGGGATCGCGATGGCTGCCAGGTGACTCTAACACGCAGCAGACTCAGCAGCCTCCTGCCCACAGCTGGCCTGGACAGAGACACCCCCTAAGCCCCCCAGGTGGGCCCTGTCTCCTCTTCTTAGGGTGCTCTGGGTCCTCCTGTGCCTTCCTCTTCTCGGTGTGACTTTGTACAGTTGTGGAATTCCCTCCTGCTCGTGCCCCACAGGACCSTGTCCTGGGAAAACAGCACCCACATCCTTGGCTAACACAGTAGGCGCTCAGTAAGGCTCACTCTCAAGGACAGAGATGGCACTTGTGGTCACTCTGGTTCCTGCTCAACAATTGCTCAGCAACAAGGAAAGGGGGGTGGGGGGTTGGGAGTCCACCCCWGAGCCCCGAAGCAGCCCTCCACCTATTCCCTGCAGCCCCAGGCCAAGAATGGATTTTACATCTTCAAATGGTTGGAAAATAAGAAAAATAGTTTGTGACTCATAAAAATTATTTGAAATTCAAATTTCTGCATCTATAAATAAAGGTTTATTGGCACACGGCCATGCCCACACACGTATGTACCATCCCTGGCTATTTCTGCCCTGTGACAGCACAGACGGGCGGTTGGAACTGACTGCAGGGCCCCTGCAATGGCATGTCACCCAACACAGGCAGGAGTTCAATCCCCAAAGCACAGATTAAAGGTATTAAGAGGCTGAAAACAATCTGACTGTGGTGTTGTCAACGGAAAATTTGGGATTAGGTAAGAGTATCAGGGTGAAGCCCTTGATTGTATTCTGGGGACCCATAAGAGGAAGAGGGACCACACAGACAGGCTGTCTCCTTACCATGAGTGATGTGCCACCTCAGGGCTCTGCCGGCAAGAAGGCCGTCACCAGAACCGAGCCAACACCAGCACCTTGCCCTCTGGCCTACAACACTGGGAGCTGAGGAAACCCCTTTACAAAGTCAGCCGCCTTGGGCACTTCAGTATGGCCATGCAGCACAGACGGACACAGCCCCCAAAGCCTGGAACACTCACCATCCGACCCTTTCCACAAAAAGGCGGGCCACCCCTTGACCTGCAGACACTGGCCACAAGGCCTCTGCTCCAACTTCATTCAACAAAACCATCTTACAAAAATTCAGAGTTTAAAAAGGCCAACTGTACTCCTCCTGAAAACTCTCCTCTTTAATTATTCAAAAATTAACTTTTGACAAGAATCAAATCTATCTTTACTTCCTCCTTATTCATCAAAACTAATATTTTTTTGGACTAGATGATGAAAAAACTCAACATCATTTTTCTTTCCCCTTTCTCTTCCCAAGATCCAAATAAAACCCTTTGGCAACATAATCAAAATGCCAGAGTTTGGCACTTGGGTCCCATCCAAACTCAGAGTCCAGACTTCTCTTTCAGAAGAAAAAAAAAAAAAAACTCCACCAAATCCAAGTCTGAATAGAGAGTGAAATGTCCAAGCCCCACGGGGCTCCCTCCTGGGTTTCCTTGCAGGTGGACAGTCCTGTAGWATTCAGCAATCCCCCCGTGGGCTTCCCCTGACACGCACAATCGACCCCTCACTCTGGGCCTCGGGGAGGGAAGGCTGCCGAAGCCCCGGGCCCCAGCTGGGGTGTGTGCTACAGGCCCGGCTGTGCACGATCTGGATTCATCGACTCCGTGAGAGTCCCTCCTAATGTCTGATACTTGGGCCAAATTGCAAAGACACCAGTCATATTTTAAAGCAGGAAGTGGGAGGTGGGAATTAATATATGCACACAAGCCTCATGGAACTGGCTCCGCCGTGGGGCTTCAGTGAGGGGGAAAGAGCTAGGTCCAGCACTAGAGAGACTTCTAAGTGGTCGTAGTGGGTTTTGTGAATCCCCCAACCAAGATTTCTCAGACCAGAAGGCACGAAGGGTGTGGGTGTCGGGATCTGAGCTCAGTGCCCTACACCCATTGGAATCCCTCGTGAAGAGGAGACTGGGCAGCTAAAGGCTTCTGTTCGGTTAATTGTGCTGGCAACAGTGATCAGCCTTGTGCAAACAGAGGGCSATGTGCACGCCACCAAAACGGAACTGCTAGACAGACTCAGAGACCAGGCTCCAGACTGCATCTCTGCTCTCATGCACATGCCCAGCGGGAATCACGGCCTGACCCTCCCTCACCTGCAGCCCAAAGAYGAGGCTAATGCACACCTGGCACAGCCTGTGCCCCAAATGCCTGCCACATGGAAGTGGTGGGAATAGACTGTGGAGTGGGAAGAATTTGCCCCAAATGGGGATTAAAACGCTAATATGGGGAAAACTTAGGACCAACAAATCCCACGGCTGCCACTTCAGAGGAACCGAGAGGAGCCTGGAGCCCCTCCTCCCCCTGCTGCCAGACATCCCCAGGAAAGGATGCGCTTCCCAGTGCCCGGGAGGTGCCCTTCTGCTCCCCAGGGGATCCTCYGCTGTCGGCAGGCCCCTGATTCTGGGGCGTTTCTCCAAACTTGGAGGCTGAAAACCCCACATCTGGACACCGGACACCCCTGACATCCATTCTGTCCTGAGGGGCTTCGCACGTGGCTGCCTGGCTGGGCGAGCCCAGCACGGTGACCCTCGTGCCCAGGGCCCACRCCCCTCTTACCCTGCTCCATCATCTCCAGCAGCCCCTGCTTGATGAGCTCCTCGCGCCCCTGCTTGCTGGCCATCTTCTTCTCCAGGGCTGCACAAGACACAAGGTCCACATGAGTCACCGTCAGAGGCTCGTCCAGGTCACAGCCATGCCCACCTCAGGTTTAACAGACAGTGGGATGGCAGGCGCCAGGCGTGCAGGCCTGGCCCTGGGGCAGGGGGGCACATGGAGCAATCTGCCAAGCAGTGTCAGGTGAGAGGCTGTCACTCTGGAGGCCTGCCTGTAGCACCTGCACACACAGCACCGTCCCCCAGGGCACCCCCACCACATACCYGCAACTCACCAGGTGGGGAATGAGGCCCCCCACCCCCAGCACCCCGGGAGCTATCTGCAGCGGGGCTGGCTCACGTTAGTGGGCCGCTCTGAGTGTCTGTCCACGCACTCTTCCCAGCCTCTCTCTCCCTGGGGTGGGCTCTAGCAGACCACAGGTCAGCAGCCTTCAAAGGATCCAMCAGAGGGGCGGGCAGGGAAGGAGGGGGCCAGCTGAGGTCCCTCCACTGACCCCAACTCACAAATGGCACSCATTCACTCTCCAGGTCAGCCTCTGCCCCTCCCAGGGCAGAACCAGCTCTCACAGCACACCCCATGTCCCGCCTTCCCGGCAGCTCCACCGTCCCCTTCCTCCCTTCCCCAGTTTCCAAACACACAGTGTGTAGCCACTGGCTGCTTTCTTTGAAAGATCAAAGTGCCTGCTCTTAAGCAGATCGCAAAGCCCACGCATTCCACGTGCAGCCCCCCCCCCCCGCCAGGGCTCAGGACACGTGGGGTGGGCTGGTCACTCAGCTCGTGGTGGGTGGAAGCGGCAGATGGCCACCAGGTGAGGACAATGCAGTGGTTAACTTCTACCCGGGCACAGGTGGGTTCTGGCAGCCCCCAGGGAGCAGATCCAACTCAGCCGCCTTCATGGACCCTGAGGTTGGGGTGCTGGTGGGGACAACAGGGGTTCTATCGTAATGCCAATCCAGYACGAGCACCTGCTGTGCCCCGGCTATGGCAGTCACTGTGAGCAAGACGCACCCAGCCTCTGCCCCAGGCCAGCACGTTTGGGCAGGATGGACCACACCTGTTTACAGGCGGGAGCGTGGTGTGCCAGGGCTGGGGTCCTGGGTGGGGTCGTCTGGGACTGCCAGGGYGAAGGCCAAGAAGGGAGACCAAACAGGTGGGAGAGACGTTGTGGGGAGGAGGGAACACAGATTCCTTTCTGCAGCCTGTGCTGAAAGCGGGTCCCAGGTGCTGCTTGTGTGGCCAATGCCGAGGCCCTGCACTCTGAGCTGGGGGGGGGTGGGGTGGAGATGGCGTGATTCACGCCCCCAACAGAGGGGCTCTGAGCCCAGCGGCCACTTGGCTCCTCCCATGGCCAGGTTTGGATGCAGGACTTTGCCTCCACTGACCCAGGTCCTTCCCATGGCCCAAAGAGGCTGTTGGGCACTGGGCAGGGGTGGTGGGGGCAGATACAGTCCACAGAGGGGTAGGAACATCAGTCCTTCAGAGAGGAGGAGCAGGCTGGAGGCACCCCCAGGGTGGACGGCTCAGATGCGGCCTCCTGTTTGGCAGGTGAGTGGCCCTGAGCCCTGCCAGAGTCACACTGCATCTCATCCCAACCACTGCTGCCTGCGACGTTGGGGATTCGATGCTGAAACCAACAGCCCATCGCTTTGAGGGGACRCTGCAGGTGTTAAATGTCCTCCCAGGGTCACCGGAGCATCCGGGTTCCTCAGCTCAGCGCCGGGAGAGGCGCGGGGCACGGGGTCCTGGGAGCAGGAGGCTCGCCTTCCGATCCCACAGTGAAGGTGCTGAGCCCAAGAGGGCCAGGCCCCCTGTGCTCCCCCCTCCACGGAAGGTCCACATGGCAGGGCYTGGGTCTCCTGGGTCCTTTGTCCCCAGCACACAGGAGGACCCGGGGGTTCTTGAATAATGATGCTGGTTTTGTCTTCATTCTTGGCAAAGAGAAGGTGTCGACTGACCTCTTCATTAAAAAGTGATTAGCGAGTCATCCCATAGGCTGGAAACCAGGGTGAGTGGAGCATGGCCACTGCCCTGGCCCACCACAGGGCACTGGTTACACTGCTTTGTCCCCACCTCCCTCCAAGCCCTGGAGTGTGAGCCTCTTCAGAGCAGGGGAGGAAAGCAGAACCCGGGGCCACAGAGACAACGGCCTGCTGTGGCACCCACTAGGCCCGTCCCCAAGGCCCAGGCCCAGCTCCCGGGGCAGCAGCCCGGTTCATGGTGAGCAGCGCAGACAGGCCTCTGGGGACTGCGGTGCTGGGCTCCAGCCAGGGTCTCCCCTGCCCATAGCATGTCCTGCTGCCCTCTGGCCCCGAGTAAGGGACTCTCCCAGGCCCAGCCTGTTCTGCACCCTGGGGCAGACAGGGCCAGGAGAGGACTGTCCCAGCAGGGAGGGACACAAGCGCTCTGCTGACACCTGCTGTCCCATGCCCGGTCTTGTCATCACCTTGGGGCCACCTGCCTGGGGTGCAGGCTTGTGGCGACAGTTCCCGTGGTGGGTTCCGTGGAGGAAGGGGCAGCGGGACAACCCGGCGCAACCCGACTTCCCACAGAGCTGGGACTGGCAGGGTGTGAAGATGCAGCCTGAGTGAGTGTGGGAACCTTCTGGATCCTTGGGTGGGAGGCACTGGGACGGGTGTACCTAGCCAGAGCAGAGGTGCTGGAGAGGAGGTGGGCTTTCTGTCTTCCCACAAGAAGAGCATCCTGAAGGTGTTGTCAGGCCCAACTGACGGCCTCAGCCCTGAGTCACCCAGGGTCTCCTAGGAACAGCGAGAGTCAGGTCTGACCCAGGTCTGCAAACCTGGGCCCACTTCATCCAGCTGAGATCATGGGTGTGGGAGGCAAGGACCATGGTGGAGTCTAGTGAGGGCTCTGTGCTTGCCGCTGGGCTCCGGCATGATGCCCTAGTCCAGCCTGGCCCTGCACCGAGTCAGAACCTGTTAGCGAGGCCCCAGGGATGGTGTGCACTCCTGGGTCTGGGCAGTGTCCCTGTATGGTGACTGGTACTGACCCACCCCAACCAGGTGCTGGTGAAGGGAGTTGACCAGAGGGAGGCTGGGCAGCCTCTGGTCCTCAGAGGCCACAGAGCACAGCCCGCCCTCCTGGGTGGGGCCAGGAGACACRGTTTCTCGCAGCACGGGAGTGACCCCAGCCTCGGCCAGCCCCGCCCAGGGCTTACCTGAAGTCGTCTGCTTCAGCTTTTCATTTTTCTTTTTCCTCCATTTCCAGGGTTTGAAGATCCTGCCCAGGGTGGCCAGCTTGCTGTTCCTCCTCACGGGGGGAGTTCGAATCCCTGAGACCAGATACTCGGAACGCACCGGGGGGGTTTGGTCCATCTCATCTGGAAGACGAAACCAAGAGAGGGTCGAGTGGCCCCCAAGCTACCTGGCTGCTGGGGACCCAGAAACCCCCTCACCCTGAGGGGAGACCAGTGAGTCCTCAAGGCYTAGAGCCCAGGAGGGTCATCAGAGCAGTGGACACTCTGGGGCTCCTTCTGACCGGTTCATATACAGAGCACATTCGAACATGGACACCGTGGGCAGCCCTCCCCCAACTCTGCCTTCCACCATGGTAATTAAAGACTGCCTGGGTCCACAATGAGACATCCCCTGCCCCAGGGCCTTTGCTCACACTGTGCTTGCTATCTGTGCTGCTCTGTCTCGCCCAGCTTTTCTCTGCTTCATAAACCACCTACCCAGTCACACATTGCTTCCTCCAGGAAGTCTTTTACCAAAGAGAGCCAGGCCCTTGTCTTCTGCTCCCAAGGGCACCTGGGCAGGCAAAAGAACAGCAAATCCCACAGGGCACTGCCCTCCCCCAGCCTGTCAGCTCTCCAAGGGCAGAAAGCAGGCCTAGCACAGCTGCAGACCCCGGCCCAGGACTGCCCATCGGGCACCTCAGCAAACAGCTGCAGGCTGAGCCGGTCCATGAAGGACAGAGGGCAGTGGCTGGCCTTCGGATCCCCTCCTCGCTGGGGAAACTAGACCATGTTTGTGAAGTCTGTGGGACGMATACAGATGGGTGTCCTGGGGAGCTGCTGGCCGGGGACTGGCTGCAACCCCAGGCCATCACTGGCGACTGGCTAAGAGTGGGGGGCTTTCCTCTTGCGGGCCGTGTGCAGAGGTGAGGAGAATACAGCGGAGCTCTGAGCACAGGAAGGAGGCGGACCTGGGGTCAACCGTCAGGTCAGCAGAGCAGTGTGCCACACCAGCACTCCGTGTGCGAGGGGCTGCATGCAGAACGGGCACTGGGTAGAGGGAGGCTGGGGAGRGAGACAGTGCTTCGGAACAGGCTGCAGTGCAGCTGGCCACGCTGGCCGTGAGAGAAGCTCAGTCAGATGTCAGAGTCGGAGGAAAACTGCCTGGGATGACCAGCGCGGCCTCCATCAGCTCCGCGTGGACCATCCCATCCTGACACGGTTCAGAACAGTGTGGACAGGGGAGGGATGTTCCCTCCAACAGTGACGAGGACCTGAGTCACCCAGGCTCCAGATCAACCCCCCAGTGTCCTTTGGGTGGACGTCCCCGGCCTGCCTGTGAGCCAACCTGGTCCAGGGCCTCCACCGCACACACACTCCCACCCTGAGCCCGGCCGCCCTCCACACCCAGGGGAAGTCACCTTAGTGTCACCTGTGAGAAAGGGCTGGGACCTCGGATCTCTTCAGATCCCAGAGTCCCCGAGCAGAGAGGCTGGGGGGCAGGGATGGAGGGGTGGCCGACAGTTTGGCAGCAGAAGGGAGAACTGGCGTCCCAGGGGCCAGCAGCCCGGGGGCCAGGACCTTCAGCCCTTCCTCCTCCTGCCTTCCCACCGAGGCATCCCTGCTCCGTCTGCTGCCCCACCAGCCTGTGAAGGCCCACCCGGGTCCAGCCCTGCAGGCAGCGTGGGAAGAACCAGCATGTGGCAGCATCAGAAGGACCAGGGGGCAGTGGCCTCTGTGCCTGGTGACAGACAGACCCAGCTGGCAGCCTCGGGAGTTCCCACAGCTTGTGATTTCCAGAGAACTGCCCCGMGATGGCCCACCCCAAGTCTCAGTTTCCACCTCTACAAGGTAAGAAGCACCCTGCAGGCAGGACRCAGGAGCTGGAGCGTGGCCTGGCATGGCCCGGGAGTCGGGAGGCACAGCAACCCAGGAACAAGGGCCTATTGATGTATGTGGTGGTGCGTGTGAGATGGCATCATGCTGGGCTTCATGGTCACTTGGACATGTGCATACCAGGCTGGTCCCGCTGACCCTCCACCTGGATGTCCACCGTGACAGCTTAGAGCCAGCTCACCAGTGTCACGGGGCTCACTCTAGACCTGAGCCACAGACCGTGACTGTCAGCATCTCTTCACGGTTGGGCAAACCAGGGCTCAGAGCTGTGAACCGACACTGGTGGTGGCCGGGATCTCCAGAACCCCTCACGTCCCTAAGCTGCTCCGGCCACCTAGACCAGGACAGGAAGTGGGGGACACCCAGACAGGAGGCTCTCAACAGAGCCAGCCTTCCTCCGGCCCCGTTCACTGTGCACTCTCCCAGGCCAGGTGGCCACCTGTGGCCCAGGGAGCAGCCGCAGGCGGTCATTCCATCGGGCAGCAGTCCAGGGCTGCCTGACTGGGGACTCCTCCTCTTGGGCTTGGCGAAGAAGTGGGGACAACGATGTCCCCGACTGCTTTTCTCAAGAGGGATCCCAATTCCAAGCACCTGGCCCCTTGCGGGGCCCCAGGAAATATGGGAGAACCAGGGTGGCCAAAGGGCATCCCAGGCCCGGCCACCAACCCTCCCCAGGGACACGCAGAGCAGGAGTATGCAGCCAGGCCTTCTCTCTCCTGAGGCAACTCATCCGTGTTTTCTCCCCTCTCCTTCCTCCACCCACGATGCCAGATGGGAACGGAACTGCCAGTCCACAAGGACCCAGGAGAGACGGCTGTCCTGGGAACGTTCCCGGCACAAGGACAGAAGGGCCAGGTCACCCTCAGCCTCCAGGCGCTGGGAAGAGGAGGATGGTGGGAGACCAGGAAGCAGCGCATTGCTTTATCTATGCCTTGCCTCGCGCACAAAGGCCGGTGGGGGGTCGGCTGCCAGTAAGACACCAGGTGCTGTAGCCAGACAAGCCCACCCCAGAGGGAACCTGCAGGGAGGGTGGTCTGCTCCAGGCCACTGCATCCAGGGCTAGTAGAGCCCCACAGGAAACACCCTGGGGCTCCAGAGGAGGGCGATGTGCGGCCTGGGCTTCCTAGCAGCAGGGGCAAAAAGAGCAGCATATAGAATAAACTGCCAATCAGCCAGGGTGTGCGACTCCACTGTCCACCACCCACTGCCCGGGCCTCCTCCGGCCTCCTGACTGGCCTTCTGCCATCCTGGAAGCACAACTCGAGTGGTCTCACCTTCCTGCTCAGCCCCTTCCCCAGGGCGCCCCTCTCAGGACAAAATGCCAAGAGGTCACCTGGTCTGTCCTGCTCCCTGCTCTACCATCATCTCGACTGTGCACTGACGGCTGTCGCGCCCTGCTGAGGACGAAGCTCCCCGGCTCTGCTACTTCCCAACAGGGGCCCGAGCCCCAGCCCTCTCCTCCTCCCACCCCTGTGCCTCCCCGTCCCTGTAGCCCCGCTGAGCCAGGAGGGGCATCCTCCACTCCTTGCCGTGGGCAAGTGATCTGCTGAGGATGGAAGGTGGGCAGGGGGTCAGCGCCACCTCCCACCAGGACCAGCACAGTTCATGGTTGGCTGTCTCCTGCGAACTCCTTCCCCTGGTGGCTAGAGCAGGTGCTGGGTCCCCACACTGAGACTCTCCCGGCACACAGAAGTGTGAGGGCCAGACCGCGCGCCCCCCTCCCCTTCGGGGAGCCTCGTTGATGCACCCACTTGGCCATTCACCCACATGCCAGGTGTCATGCCGGGCACCGGGCCTACCAGGTGAAGAGGAGATGCAGACGCTGCCCTGGGGCCCAGCTGCCCGCAGGGGCCTGACAGGTAACGCGGTCACTGGAGCAGCCTTGCTCATTCCACAGCGCTGGCTCCCGGGCTCTGCACRCCCCTCTTCCTCGTCCTCATCTCCTGCCACCTCCACGGGCGTCCCTGCACACCCTGGTGTTCATTTGTCTGTGCAGCAGTGTCTCTGCCTGCCTACTGCCATACTGCCTTCTGAAGGGAGGCCACAGCAAGGTCCCCAGGGCCCAGAACAGCCCTGGAGCATGGCAGGGGGGGATCCCTGAGATCCCGAAGAGGCCCTGGGAGACGTGAGGGGCACAGAGCTGGTGGTGCAGCCGGGAGGCGAGCAGGGCCTGCCTGTGACCGGCAGGTGGCAGCTCTCAGAAAGGGACTGCTCCAGGGCAGGTGGCGGGCCAGGGGGAGGAGGACCAGCGGGCAAGGACTGTGGATGACCCAGGGAGGCTGCGGGGCCTGCAGGGGCTGGACCTGGACTCAGAGTTCAGCACAAAGTCCCTGCAGGGTMCTCAGCTCCAAGAGCCCACCACAGATGCCCCAGCCTGAGAAGCTCCCCGGAGGGGCCTGGGTCATCGGGCGCAAACACCCCCACCTGGGGAGACAGGTACCCAGAGGTCTGCAGGTGGGTCCCCCCCCCCCCAGGACAAAGCACCCTCTCCCCTCCTCCCGCCCCAGGCAGCTCAAGCCCAGGGCCAGGCCAGCCGAGGGCCAGCAGCAGAAGGGCCTTCCAGGGGGCAGGAAGGTCACCACGGGTGCTGTGCCCTTCTGTGGAGGAGGCAGAGGAGGGTGGTGTGTGCTGGTGAGCAAGCAGGAGGGTGGCCACAAATGCCCATAGGTATGTGTGCACAGCGAGGTGCATGTGGGTGAGTGGGCGCACCTGAGGGTAGGTGCCCGTGGACCTGTGCGTGTGCCCACGGAGGGAAGGGACGGTGGGGAGGCCGTCTTCCCAKGAGTCCTCTCCGCTCTCTCCCTGGCGTGGTGAGGAGACGCCTTCCCACCGTGGGAGACTCTGGGAGGTGCCAGCGCATTAGCAGGTCCCCATTAGCAGGTCCTCGAGCCTCGAGGAACAGYGGTGCTAAGTGCCAGGGGCACCTGGCACCTCTGAGGCATTAGCTGTTAATTACCCAGACGCCTCTCCTACATCTGCTGCTGCTGAGGAAGCACAGCCTCACACAGCCTCGGGCCGGAGCCCTCCTGGGGCTTCCAGAGGACAGCTGGGYGGTGGCCCACCCTGCTGGCATGACCCCTGGGACAGCCCCAGCTCCTCCCAGGCCCTCGCAGGCCAGGGTGGTCCACCCACAGACCCCGACCTGGAAGTCAGGCGCTGTTCGGGGACCTGCCCGCTGACTCTGTGCACTCTGTGCCCGGCGCAGGGCCATCCCTGGACTCATACTCCTTCCACCAGCTCTTG